TACATACATACATACATACATACATACATACATACATACATACATACATACATACATACATACGTATGTACATACGTACAGTAGATGCACTGATACATATATGGATGGAGTAATAATGTTGGTTTAAAAAGCCACATGGGGATCCACTATTAAGACACTTAAAACACATAAAATGTTAAATAACTTTGTATTATTTCCACAAAAACATGCATGTTAGACTGATTGGTAACTCTAAATTGTCTCTTGGTGTGAATGAGAGAGTGAATGGATGTTTGTCTCGTTTGTCTTTATGTGTCCCTGTGATGGACTGGAGACCTGTCCAGGGTGTACCCCACCTCTCACACAGTGACTGCTGGACATGGGCACCTATGACCCCCGTGACCCAAAAAGGAAGAAGCGATTAAAGATAATGGATGGATGGAAGGATGGATGGAAATTACCACATATTCCATCATTTCTCAGTTTAGCCAAACATTTCATAAACAATATCAAACCATTCATCTAAGTGTCATGGTGGCAGATTAGAAACATTATGCATTCTTATTCATTCAACCTGTATTTATACAGGATAAACTCATTGCAGCTTAAGGACTCATTTACAAGAGAGACCTGATTTAAACAAAGAATGATGACAGCTGTAGACAATCATAAAAGAAAGCTTATAAATTGAGAAGAACAAATGAAAGGAAATGGTATTAAAAAAAAGATACAAAAACAGCTAGATTACAAGGCGGTGTAGAAAACTAAAAACAGGAACATGTCTGCACTGGTTTTTGTCATGAACTTATCAGGTCGAGAGCTTCAGATCATTTTGCAAGATATTCCAGGAAACAGGAGCGGAGTAGGAGAAGACCCTTTTGTCTAGTTCAGTCCTCACTGAGGGAACACTGCAGGTAATAATGTCCTGAGAGCGCACGCTGTAACTGCACTCACGCAGAGACATGAAGGAGGAGATGTATGAAGGCAGCAGACCAAGAAGTGATTTAAAGATGAAAATGTACCAGTGAGAGAGTCTGCGTGAAGTTAATGATGACCAGTTAACCAGTGAATACAGGGTGCAGTGATGGGTACGGTAGTTACAGCCAGTTGTGAATCTTAGTGCATTTATTCCTTCCTGTGTTGATCCTGATCATATAAGTTCTGCTGACGGCACTTGTTTTTGTTAACAATATGAAATGAGGAGCAGGATCTAAATGAACTGAAGTCACAGATGAAAACAAAAAGAATGATCAGATAAAATCACAAGAACAGGACTCAAACCGAAGAATCGCAAAACAGAAAACTAAACACTGACAACATTCTGACCACGACTGGCTGAGGTGTTTGATCCAAGTCCTTTATCTAGTCACCATACTCAATATTTCAAAAAAGATCATTACTTTTATTGTTTATAAGTGCTGAATAAAGAAGGCTGAAAAAAGTTCCTACAAGTTAAAAATATGATCAGCCTCAAATAAACTCATCAATTCATTATGAACAGAATGCCACACGGTTTGTATGTTTGTACTGGTCCAAAGATGTGAAGATATCTGGCTTCTTGAGAGACGTCTCCAGCAGCTTAAAGCGTCTGTGAAAAATCACTTCTGAACAGATGAGACAAAAATCAGCTCAAACATTTTCAGGCAAATGTTCTCCAAGAGACAGAACTTGGAACGATCTTTTGAAAATTATAATATTTTGACCCAAATTCATCTGAATATAGCATTTAGATTATTTATCTCAAATATGCTTCATATAGGTAGTAGTGTTTTTTTTAGCTGGAGACTTTAGCAAATTTTTAAAATTATTTTAAAGTCCATATTTGATTTGTACGCACTTGAAGTACTTTCAGTGAGTAGTTTTTGAGCTTTTATTTACTTTTTGTGAAATGCTGTTTGTAACAACTGGCAGGACTGGAAAAAGGAGACTGGATGACTCTACTTATTGTTTTTTACCAATTTAATATATTAAAATAAAGGCAAGCAGAAAATCCTAGAGGCGAGACAACTCCAAGTACCAAAATATGTCTTCCTTAAGAAAAAAAGGATGAAGTATTTTCTACGGATGTGTATTTGTGGTGTGTGTTGATCCACCGCCAAGGGTCCGATTTAATAAAGATACATGAGCAGCAAAAACTTGTACAGCACCGCATATTTCAGCCTCCAACTCCCATACAACCCAATTCAATGTAACATTTTGAAATTGAATTAAACGCAGTACAGCAAATGAATGACTGTGTTCGTTATGAGCCTGCCTCCTCATGTCCTGCATTAAGATCCTCATTCTTGACTACATGTCAAGTCATATATGATGTAATCAACATATTATCATTACTATTATTATTCAGGTCTCTTTTGTAAACGAGTCCTCGAGGCTCAATGGGATTAACCTGTATATATAAAGGTTGAATGAATTTTAGTCAGATAGTATTTTTATTTGCCTATAATACACAGAAGCACAAAAGCTACCATCTGACTTGTCACTATATTTGCACACTAGATTTCCTGCAACTTAGTAATGTATTTTGAAGAATAAGCAGTGTTAAAACTACTTGTGGAAAAATACATTTTAATACTTGACTGGAAAGTGGTAGTTTGTCAAGATTGTTTTAGGTTAGTTTAAATAAAACATTTGCATTTTTGACAAAATGATCATCATTTGGAACCAAAAGAAGAGAAACATTTTCATGCAAAAATGGTGTCTTATGTAAAAATAAAAAGTCCCAAACAGATGCTATTTTTTTATTTATTTTCCAGCTGTGAAAACCTGTGTCCTCCAGGTAAACATGGGCAGCAGTGTGAGGAGAGATGTCCATGTCAGAACGGTGGCGTGTGCCACCACGTGTCCGGAGAGTGCTCCTGTCCTGCTGGATGGATGGTAACATAACCATCACTACTTGTTTTTTCTTTTTTTAATAATAGTATTTAGGTATTTTTACGGGTAAAGAATGAACATGAAATAGCACAAAAGAGTAATATAGCCTCTACAGCTGCTGCTTATTTTGAGGCATTTTTCCATTTTCACTATTCACACTATTTTATAGTATGGTATTCTTTAAAGTCTAACACCCACCATTATAGTTCCAAGTTCTCTTAAGGGGTAATCACTGTTGTAGAATATGATGGTTATGTTTTTTCCCATTCGGGTCATGCAAGTGTCAAACAAAACCTTAAACAAATGAACCAGTCAAGGAAACACCAGAGCAGGCCTGTCACGATAACAAGTTTTGCTGGATATTCATTGTCTCAGAAATTATTGCAATGAACGATAATCTTGTTTGAAATTTGATAATAATTAGTAATTATTGTCAAATTTAAGAAGAAATGTTGGTTAATTTTTGTGTTTAGTACCTTTTTTGACCACTGGATGGTGGAATACCATACCACTTTATTTATAAAGCACTTAAAACAGCTACAAGGCCAACCAAAGTGCTGTACAGACAGAACAACAGACAACACACCAAGCAAAATACAAAATGAGGTAAATCAGAATATAGACATAAAAACGATGCAGATAATGACGACAAACCAGTGTGGAGCATACAGGATCAAAACACTGATCATCTGGTGTTGAAAACTATTGAATAGTAGTGGGTTTTTAAACGGGACTTGAAAACCAAGAGAGAGGGGGCCTGTCTGAAAAGCAGAGGTAACTCGTTCCAAAGTCTTGGTCCTGCTACAGAGAAGGCCCTGTCACCTCTGCGCTTAAGACGAGTTCCTGGAACTGTGAGGAGCAACTGGTCCGCTGACCTCAGGGAGCGTGGTGGGACATACGGTTGTAGCAAATCAGAGATGGGAGGGGCAACACTGTTCAGTGATTTGTAGACATACATGAGTATGTTGGGGTGGTTTGGGCATCTGTTAAGGATGCTCCCTGGGCACCTCCCTAGGGAGGTGATTTGGGCATGTCCGACTGGGAGGAGACCCCGGGGAAGACCCAGGACATGCTGGAGAGACTATGTCTCTTGATCGGCCTGGGAACACCTTGGAATCCTCTCAGAAGAGCCTGGAAGAGGTGGCTATGGAAAGAGATGTCTGTACGTCCCTGCTCAAGATGCCCCCCCCCCCCCCCCCCCCCCCACACACACACACACACCCCCGACTCGACTTCAGAACAAGCGAAAGATGATGGATGGATGGATGGATGGATGGATGCACGTACGGGATCTATCCAAAAACAGTAAAAACATGGTTAAATTGTATATAGTCTGTATCTCCTGTTCAGATGTGATTGATAGAAGTTTTCTGAGTTCAGACAAAGTCAATCTTTTTACAGTTTTATTTAAATTTATATGGATTTTATTTTTCTATTGTCTTCATGATATTTCTCTAACATTCCTGCACAGTGACTCAGGCAAAATAGCAACCAAAATGTTTATTAAAAGTCCTTACAATAGTTAATACTCATCATCTCTCCAACAAATAAATGGCCTCTAAAGTATAGTATATTATATATATATATTATTTTAAAAAAAAGTATAGTATATTAAATGGTGTGTATAAACCTATAATGATGTAATTTGATCAGTGGATGAAATTACATAAAATGCTGGCCCTCACAGAGTCTGCTCAGAAATCTTCTGCCCTTGAGCCAGTTTGGTCAATGACTCCTGGTTTAGGCTATATTTAAACATCTGCTGATGCTTTCAGGGGACAGTGTGTGGACAGCCATGTCCAGAAGGACGATTTGGACAGAACTGTTCCCAGGAATGTCAATGTCACAATAATGGCTTTTGTTTGGCGTCCACTGGACAATGTCTCTGTAGCCCTGGATACACTGGAGACCGGTAAGATTTTTATTACTATTTTATTTGTTACAAAATACATACCCAGCAGTGTATAGGAAATACATTTCTTTAATTTTTTTTTTAATACATTTTAAACATTTTTCTGTCATTTTTAGGTTGCAGTCAAAAACTGAGTTGATGTGATTTAGATCAGGGGTGTCCAATCCTGGTCCTCAAAGGCCACCATCATGCAGGTTTTAGCTGTTTCTCTTCAACACGCCTGATTTAAAGGTTGAATTACCTCCTCAAGTTCTGCAGAAAACTGTTACTCACCTATTGATTAAAATCAGGTGTGCTGGAGCAAAGAAACATGTAAGACATGTAGGACAGTGACCCTCAAGGACCAGGACTGAACACTTCCTAATGAGACGTTTATCAATATGAAATTTTATCATTTTGAAATTTAAAGCTTCTTTCAAAAGTAACAAAATCTTGTACGTTGAACATTTGGTTCTCCATCCATCCATCCATCCATCCATTTATTCATTCATCCATCCGTTCATTCATCCATTCATTAATCCATCCATCCAGTTATTCATTTATTCATTCATTCATTCATTCATTCGTTCATTCGTTCATCCATCCATCCATTCATAAATCAGTCAGTCAGTCCATTTGTTAATGAATTAATTTATTCATCCATCCATCCATCCATCCGTCAGTCAGCCAGTTAGTCAGTCAGTCTGTTTGTTAATTAATTAATTCATCAATCAAGCAATGTCAATTAATCAATCCATCCGTCTATCCACCATCCATCCATTTATTCATCCATCCATCCATCCATCCACCCATTCATTAATCCATCCATCCAGTCATTCATCTATTCATACATTCATCCATCTATCCATTCATCAATCGGTCATACTGTTTGTTGATTGATTCATTTATTCATCAATCA